CGGCACTAATCTAGAAGTCAAACCGAATATTTTATATACATCCTGGACGCTTCGAATTTCAGAATACAGGCTTACTTTTGCAATTATACACAATGATGGTGATTACTTGACGAATAATTTGCTTTCACTGATGGTATTGAAGTTAAATTAAATTCAAAATCTGAATCGGAATTCTTGAGTAACTGAAATATGCTTACTTCACCATCCTTGATCAACGCGCATAGGATCAGATCGATTCGGACGTCAACTGAGAAGAAAAAGAAAAAAATTTAGTTTTAGACAGACATTAACATAATATTATTTCCAACAAACTATTTCATGCCTCTCCGTAAGAAAATTATTCTTACAAGGCAGAATAATATTATTTTTCATATTATTTTTTCCGTAATTATTATATTCACCCTCCACACCAAACATTTGCGCACATTCCTCATAATTTTGTCTCCATCTTAGTGCATATTTGTTGTTGGCGTAAACCACACCCTAAAATTCAAGAGAATTAATTATTCTAAAATACGTAAAAGTTTCCTCTCGTAACGTTATCAAACGTTGCAAATTCGCAACTTGTAAGAAATAATAAACTATAGGTAAATAAGTAAATTGTCTCACATCTCAAAGAGAAAATATTATATGAAAATGTGATTATTAAAAACAGGACCTACTACATTACGACTTAAGTACATATTCAGATATCGTATTATCTCGGATACTTTTAAATATCGATTCACAGCAATATTTGAAACAGTGAAACGTGAAACATGAAATCATACATGAAATCATACACTCAAAACAGATTTAGATAATGTAAAAACAAATTCTGTAATTTAAAATGGAAAAATCGAAACAGCGCGAGTATAGACTTCTGATACATAGCTTGAGAAAACTTTTTATACAGTACTCACCGTAGCGACAATCAGCACAATCAAAATTACGATGGTCTTCATAATGGTCTTCTCAGGTTTCTCACTTATCCCAGATAATGCACTGTATCTTATGGAAGGTGCCACTGCGCTTTTATAGCAAATTATTAACCACGCAATCATCACTAAGTAGCATAAATTGCATTATATATCCTTGATCCATTTGATTTACATTAAGGCAAACCAGCGAATATCACGCAATAATAATGAAATAGCGGAAAAAGTGAATGATGATAAGATATTTTAATTACTCATTTAAAAGCGCGGTTTTATATGAGCCTTTTTATCCCCAATGTTAAAAGTATTCGCACGGAGAAATCAAGTTTTGCTGAAACAGCAAGTTATTTCTTAATATACTGACACCAAAAATATTAGTTTCACGGAAAAAATAATTTTGCTGTTGTAGCAAGATGTGGTTCATTGAAGCTGCGATCGTATTTGTACAGTCAGAAGACGATTGCAATATTTTGTTTAGATGAATTTTGCAACACATCTCGTATTTAATAGGAAAATATATCTCCTGCGAATTACTGAAAAACGAATTTACTTATAGCGATGCGTTTTGAAATCCAAAAAAGAAATCTTATAAACTCTTTGTGACTAACTGTACGGAAACTTTCAGTTTATGTACATGAAGGACACTTCGCCACTTCATAATTATACGCAATAATTATAGAGTTCTGCGTTGCAGTCAAACCTAATTTGCATTAATGCCAACTAATATGAATTGGAAAAGCCAAAAAAATACTTGATTATACATACTGCACTTAAGATTTAATATCCATACATTGTACAAACACGGAAGGAAAATGACATTAAACCGTCGATAGTTTTTGTGTAATAACGTAACGCAACGAGTAAAGAATATTATAAATTATTCACTAACAATGAACGTTTGTGATCAATAAAAGTAGATATTTCTTTAGATTTAGTAATTAGGTATTTTTTTCGTGTTTAATCACGTAAATTATATTAATGTTATCGATGTTAATCTTCTAAATTTTGAAATAAAAGGAAAATTGCGAAAGTTTTGGTTTTAGGCCAAAGACAGGGAGAGAGAGGGAGAGAGAGAGAGAGAGAGAGAGAGAGAGAGAGAGAGAGAGAGAGAGAGAGAGAGAGAAAGAGAGGTAGAGAGAGAAGGGGAAAACGAAAATTGAAAATTGTTGAACAATTGTTGTATCTACATGTTTATACGTTTATTTCTGTCTAAAAGAATGATATTTAAAAATTAATAATAAAATTTTAATATTAAAATTATATCTTAAAACCTGAATACCGTCACAGACAAATAAATGCGATGTCGCACGTACATATTTGTATGCTTCTTTAATTCCTCAGTAATTCGTTATAGTTATGTTGCTTATAGTTGTAATTATCGCTTTCCTGCACACAGTTTCTCATTCCTCTCAATCCTGTCTATCTTACCTATTTCTCTCTCTTCATACACTGCCAATTTTCTGACAAGGACTGAGACGTCGCTTCGAATATGAGAAAGACAATATGATTTAATTAACAAAATACAATTTTTGGCTGATAAGAATAGTACTGGGATAGTTTTGCGAATAATAATTTTTAAGAATTTTTGCAAAATAATTTTTTAAACATTTCTCAAATTTTATTTTCTTTCTTGTTATAACTTTTCTCGTTATAACTTTTCTCGTTTGATATTTTTTCAAGCTTATTGAAGTTCATTCAGATATGTAAAATGATTGATAAAATGAATCAATAGACACAGAAACGTGTTTGTAGTTTGATCATATTTTATTCAGTGCTTAGCACGGTGATTACAATACAATACAGGAAATGGAAAAGACATACTTATTAATAAAAATTATAATGCTTTACAAAATCGTCCTTCATGCACTTTTACTTTGTATTCATTCTGTATCAAAAAATGTTATAATTGATTGACCGCAGAATAGAAATTTTATTGTTTTCCATAAACCTACTGCTCCGGATCGAATTGCTGTAATTAAAATAAAAATCGAATGATAACCTTTCAGAAAGAATTCAGATAGAACAATTTCAGATGGAACATATATGCTGCTTATAAATATCATATATATGGAATTTTTAGTTGTGTAAGTTTTGTTTTTGTGGAAAAATAAAATGAATTAACTTGTAAACACATGAAAATTAATTAATCTCTAATATAATAAACACTTCTTTACACATTCAAAATCCGTATAATTATGTTTCTTAATTATGGTCTTCAATAATATAAAATTAATGTGGAGTATAACTCAAGCGATTGGAAGTAGTAAATAGACGTCAAATAATAAAATCGGTTACCTTCATCATCGCATTTGTAAAATATTTCAGATGCTTGTTGCAATCTGACTGGATCGGAAATGAGTATTCGTAAATTCCGTAAACTTGATTCCGGACTGTATGCGCCATTTGTATACAGAAACTAAAAATTTCATGATTAATATCTTCTTAATATCTACATTTGCAATCTACAAATTGACTTTGTGGAATATATCAAGAAAATTTGAATCTTTACAATTTTAAAATTTATAATTCGCATTTCTATACAAGCAGTATTTTTATTGTTATCTTATTTTACTTAAAATTAAAAATTTCGACTGATTTTTGGCCCTCTTTAGACAATAAATCGATCATCATTTACAATAGAAGTTTACTCGACTTGGCTCCTGGGATAGTGATATTTTTCTCGTGAAATGTAAGAAACACATTTGCGAAATCGACGGCACTAATCTAGAAGTCAAACCGAGTATATTTTATACATCGTGGACGCTTCGAATGTCAGAATAAAGGCTTACTTTTGCAATTATACGGAATGATGGTGATTACTTGACGAATAATTTGTTTTCACTGATGGTATTGAAGTTAAATTAAGTTCAAAAAATGAATCGGAATTCTTAAAAAATTAAAATATACTTACTTCACCACTCTTGATCGCTGCGCATAATATCAGATCGATTCGGACGTCAACTGAGACGAGAAAAGAGAAAAATTTAGTTTTAGACAGCCTTTAACATAATATTATTTCCAACAAACTATTTCATGCCTCTCTGTCAAAAAATTATTCTTACAGGGCAGAATAATATTATTTTTTACATTATTTCTCCTGTAATTATTATACTCACCATCCACACCAAACATTTGCGCACATTCCTCATAATTTTGTCTCCATCTTCGTGCATGTTCGTTGTCCGCGTAAACCACTCCCTAAAATATATGAGAATTAATACTCTAACATACCTAAAAATTGTTTCGTTTCGAAACGTTATCAAACGTTACAAATTCGCAACTTGTAAGAAATAGTAAACTATAGGAAAATAAGTAGTCTTACATTTCAAAGAAAAAATAATATATAAACATGTGAATATTAAAAACAGGACCTACTACATTAAGTACAAATTCAGATTTCGTGTTATCTCGGATACTTTTAAATATCGATTTACAGCAATATTTGAAACAGTGACGCGTGAAACATGAAATCATACATTCAAAACAGATTTAGACAATGTAGAAACAAATTCTGTAATTTAGTATAGAAAAATCGAAATAGCGCGAGTATAGACTTTTGATATATAGCTTGAGAAGACTTTTTATACAGTACTCACCGTAGCGATCAGCACAATCAAAATTAGGACGGTCTTCATAATGGTCTTCTCAGGTTTCTCGCTTGTTCCAAATGATGCACTGTACCTTATGTCACTGCGCTTTTATAGCAAATTATTACTCACGCAAGCATCACTAAGTAGCATTAAAAATTGCATTATATCCTTAATTCATATTCCATTTGATTTACATTAAGGCAAATTAGCGAATATCGCGCAATAATGATGAAATAGCGGAAAAGACTTACTGATGATAAGGTATTTTAATTCATCGTTTATAAAGCGCGGTTTTATATGAGCCTTTCTATCCCCAATGTTAAAAGTATTCGCACGGAGAAATCAAGTTTTGCTGAAACAGCAAGTTATTTCTTAATATACTGACACCAAAAATATTTGTTTCACGGAAAAAATAATTTTGCTGTTGTAGCAAGATGTGGTTCATTGAAGCTGCGATCGTATTTGTACAGTCAGAAGACGGTTGCAATTTTTTGTTTAGATGAATTTTGCAACGCATCTCGTATTTAATAGGAAAATATATCTCCTGCGAATTACTGAAAAACGAATTTACTTATAGAGATGTGTTTTGAAATCCATAAAAGAAATCTTATAAACTCCTTGTGACTAACTGTACGGAAATTTTCAGTTTATGTATACGAAGGACACTTCGCCACTTCTTAGTTATACGCAATAATTATAGAGTTCTGCGTTGCAGTCGAACTTAATTGGCGTCAATGCGAACTAATATGAATTGGAAATGCCAAGAAAAATACGTGATTATACATACTGCACTTAAGATTTAATATTCACAAATTGTAAAGACACGGGTGTAAAATGACATTAAATCTTCGATAGCTTTTGTGTAAAGCGTAACGCAACGAGTAAAGAATATTAAAAATTAAT